CAATAAATGTTATAGCCACCCCTAATAGATCTATGGTAGTCAGCTCCCCAAAAAGTTCACCCGTTTTACCAAGAACCGTTGCAAGAACAATGCTTCCGACAAGTCAATCGGTCTTAGACAAAATGGCATATTATTTAGTGGGCGATGGTTCCTCAAATAGATTCGCACTAATTTGCCAGAATTGCAGTAGGCATAATGGCATGGCATTGAAAGAAGAATTCGATTATCTAGCATTTTATTGCGGCTATTGTAATTTTTTCAATCCGGCTCGAAGGACCAAAAAGAATGTGGAGAACTCACATTGCTTCAGTTTACTAATCACTGGCTGCTAGCAAGTAATAAAACATGCAATCCGTTACTGCTATGATAAATTCCATCTTTAATAATAGTCTTCGTCATTTCAATACCATTCAAATGGATAAATGAATTTGGGATGCCGTCGAGGGCAGAGCACCATGAAAGTTATACAATTGCATATAATAATAAAAATAATAAAAATAATTGAACATAATAATAATTCATATTTCCATAGAGAACAACAACAAAATGCACAGTTGACAACCAGAACCTATTTGATCATAATAATTATAACTAATACAAAGTTCACAAGCAGCGCAGGAAAGTTACGTTGGGAAAACTCCTAACACTATATTAAGCATTTAGATTCCCCATGATGAGAATGAAGCTTGTATTCCTCCAAAGGCACTGTGGATGTTGTTTGGGGAAAGTATGACATCTGGCGGGGAGTACGCCGTGACAATAGTAACTTCTTTAATTTTAATCCTCATGACTTGGCATCTTTGATTGAAGTTATTATCCATGTTACATTTAGTGTGGGGTATGCCTTCTTTGATCAAGATAGCAATACCTCCATTTCCAACATCTCTATCCAATCTGTGTGTTACATAGTATTTGACCTTCAAAGCATTGTCTGCCTTGAGCCATGTCTTGTTTTTCAATAAAACATCCGGGTTTTCGTTATTTATCAAGATAGTCAAATCGCTGAAGTTTCTTAAAACACTCCTAATGTTCCATTGGATTATTTTCATGTTGGGTTTGTTCATAATAAAATTCATTTACATTAGCGTGAGCATCTTCCAAAAGGTATTGATTGTCTAAACCGTGATCGGATCCCCCAAATTCCTGGGTTGCATTCTGGATTTCTTCCATAATTACATCTTTCACCTCCTGGGTCAGAGTTATGTCCTGCCAATAAGTTGTTTTAACACCTCTAATATTGGTGTTGGCTGGAACAAGTAGGAACTACTAACTGGCCTTGCCTTGTACTCCTTTGAGTAGGCGTTCTAGCAGGAGCCGGAATAAGACATTTTTTGTGCATTTCTCTGTCGTACCCGGGATTTTTTTTTTTTTTCAGGTTAAATGCAGCCGAAGCATATATGATGGTTTTCTAGGAGTCGTAGGGGTTGATATGTATAAATGTCTATGATTCACTTCAATTGGTCTACTGCGGCTTCTGAAGCTCTTCTTGTGAGATTCAGAACTGGAAAGTCTCTATGATCCAAGTTCTCTCCCTGTCTATTTTCATCTCCTTTCGGGTATTTATTCCTTGCCTCGAATTAGGAGATGTTTTCTGTTATCATTGTAGTTTTGATGCACTATAAGCAATTAGGTGTGCCTTGTTCACAGTTCCTTTTCTCGTGCTCTTTCGCACATACCGGACATCTTTGTTTGCCTTGGCATTGTTTGGCCGTTTGGCCATATCTTAAACATTTGAAATACATCAAGACTGGACTTATATAGACTGAGATCAATACATCACAAAATTCTAGGTTTACTAACCTTGAAATCACTTTCCCTTGGAATGTAAACACGACTGATTTAGTGTTTACATATGTAAATACTATCACCATTTTCAGTTATTCTCTTCTTTAGCCTCCTGGCCTCAACAACATTTGCAGCGGATTTTGTATACTCGACTATTTCCTCTGTCTTTGTAATTACCTCTGGCTATTCCTTTGCAAGTGACTAGACTAGCTGGAAAATATGCTTTGGGATTTTCCTCTAATAACATTTTATTAGTTAAAAATTCGATTGCACTAAGATAGTCAGTAAATTCTATTCCAACTCTGTTTTTACCTTTTCTGGAGGTTTTCTCCACTCCTAATTTTCTATTTCTGAAAAGTCTACCAATACTGATGGGATGCATATTACCAATATTATCCTCATTTTTGCTTCCAATAATAACCATGTAAGGTTTAAGATCTCTGAATGTGTATGAAAAATTACTTGTCCAGGAAAAAGCTATACTATGGCAAGCAGGGGTATTCTGAGAATATTCCCCTTAGATGTACTTAATTATTTTCTCTTCCACAATTAGGTATTTCCAGTACCAGAACAATTTTTTTTTCGCAAAAATAAATCGAAAATTAGAATACCGAGCTGTCACTTTCTGGCGCCAATCGTCACAAAACATCCCCCCTTAGAAATGTAAGTCTTATGAGAGACGTCAGTCTAGTCGTTTCAGCTTTTCCCTCCAATCACTAGAGGCGCTTCAATCAACCTATTAAAGTTTTCTTTTTCCTGCCGGACCGTGCGCCAAGATTTGAAGTTTATTTTGTCATTTCCAGTCGTCAAAATTTAAATTTTGAACTTCTCCCAACATTTAGAATTATCAATTACCTATCAATTATCAATAATTATTATCTCAAAATGTCTTCTCCCAGTTTGTTAATTGAAAAGCATCAGAAATGCTGTGTTCCGGGGTGCGGCGACAAATACAGCAGCTATTTCCGGTTTCCAAAAGATGCCGAAAAAATGAAACAATGGCTAATAAAAGTTCGCAATCCTTTACTAAATAGCCTCAGTGCCGAGAAGGCTTATAATAATTATAGAGTGTGAACAAGACATTTTCCTCGAGAATTTATTGTTGGCGATCCAAAAGCCAGACGAGGACTCACATGGAATGCTGCGCTTTTGCTGTATCTCCCTGAAGGTAAGTTAATACTAGATATATTTGAGAAAGACGTACTTACATTTTCACTTACTCCTCCCCATAGTTCTGATTAACGACAACGTGTTAGAATTCGGGTTTAAAGGAGCATAGGTCAGAAACATTTAAATTAATTTTAGCCCCAATTATCAAAAACAGTGAGGAGTCGTTAATTGATAAACCACAATCACCAAAATGGCAAAAAGTGGAGATCGACACAGTTGAAACTCGTCGAAGAGTCCTAAGACGCCTTCAGAAATTAGTTTCGCAACTATGATTGACATAGGTAGGTAAACATAATAACTCTGTTCCAACACGTCAAAAAATCGTCCCATGAACGGTTTCGAAACCACTCAGTATAACAATTTTAGTTTCTGCGCAGAATCGTGACGGTACATTGTACGGTTTTCTGCTGTGTTGGAACAAAGCTAATATTATTCATTTTTTTTTTTTTAATGTTTATTCCTTTATCAGGAGACACAATAATTAAAATATTCCGGGTTACATACAGGTACAGCATATTCTACAATGTGTGTATCCTAACTTTTTTGGTAGAATCATTGGTAACGAAATTTCTGTTTTAGATCAACCAGGCCCTTCATGTCGTCAATTTTTATCTACTGAAACTTCTGCAATTGGGGCAGACATTGCTACACCAAGTGGAACCATCACATCTGCAAACATGAAAAAGTCACCAACCAACTTTGTCTCTTAAAACTTTTATTGGTAGGTACCTAAGTGTTATTGCTTAATGAATAACCACCCAGATGGGAATAGGTGAATTTTGAAACATCCTAACTCAAGTAGGACTACTACTATAAAAGACTACTAATTACTAAAACTTGGAGTCGAATGCTAGAAAAATTAGAAGCATGTGCGAAAAGCTCGTCTCCAATCTTGATCTATTTTTTTTTTGCAGGTCATGAGAGACGATGCCAAATTTTAAAGAACATTAACGTCACTAGGCAAAAATTCCTATCCCCAAGGGAAAAATATCTTTATTCCAGAGTTATAGAATCCAGCAATAAGTTAAGAAGAATCAGTAGAATGTTGTCGTCATTTAAATCCAAAGTTTCTGCTGCTGAATAACTTGCATCATAAACCAAATTTCAAAGGCTCGTAGACCACGTCAATCCATTGATATACAGCTTTATTTTAAGCCAAGTCCATACTCAAAACCAAAAGCCTAAAGCTAGACGATTTACATTGGACGAGAAGTTGTTGGCGTTGTCTTTGCTTAAAGCTAGTGGTAAAGGGTATAGACTATTATCAAAAATATTTATTCTATCATCCAGGCGAAATCAGTTTCTTGAATGAGCTTTATATTATGTATAACTACATAAACTTTCTACCTAACACATGCGGAAAGTGTATTTTCTGGACTTAAAGGCTTGTCCGAACTCTGCTTTTTGTTGTCATTCGTGCAACTTCCATCACGTGCAGAAACACTTTCCTCACTTGTTAGGTTAACAACGATTTTGGATTGTGAGAAAAGGACCTCTTTTGTCATTTTATTTACGATTTAAGTTTTTCATCAAGCTATTATTAAATGTACGTCATTACTTCTTGTAACTGTCCTTATTATCTTTAACTTAACTAGCATTACCTACCTATGTATGTATACTTACATGAAAAAAAAACTGTTTCGCAATAATTGTAATTAATTCCATATTCTATTATATTTTCTGTTTCAAACTTTAATAAATATCTAAATTTGTCATCTTAATTCTTAGTCAATTTTACCTTGAAGGCGCTTCAACACTACCGATTTTATGAGTTTCTTCTTTTTGGCACAATTATTTTATGCCAAAAAATGGTAGAAACTTTAAAGTGGTGGTGTTGAATCGCTAGAATCAAACAATGGTGCAAACGATCCACCGGAACGAATAAGATACCGAACGAACCCTAATTGCGTTTTGCATTCGCCAATAAATCCAGAATTACAAAAGCTGACCCCCCCAGTCACTAGAGGCGCTGAAAACTTATAGACAGGTTCTCAACACGGTACTTACCTTTCTAAGGGGGGATGTTTTGTGCCAATCGTCGACCATGTTAGTTTATTCTCCAAAAACTAGTGTGTCCGTGTAGGATGACTGAAACTGAACCTAACCTTAGTTTCTCAAAATCATAACAAAACAAACAACAAATAATTCAAAACAAAGCTATAAAAACAATAGTGAAAACAACGCAAATCCTAGGCAAAGTAAGTGCAATTATTGTTGAACTATTCTTAACTAATATTATCTGTTACTTGTCAGCTAAGATTATTACACTTCCAAACAAAAATCATGAAAAGAAAAGCAGAAGACTCTCACGGCGCCAAACCAGTTCCCTTCTGGGCTATGGGCCTTTTGAAAACAATGAAAGACCCTAAATACATTCTCAATTCAGACAATCAAATAACCATAATAAAAGACATGTATCCCAAAGCACGCCATCACTTCTTAGTGCTCCCCAACACGGACATTGGCAGCCTTAAAACACTTACCAAAGATCACGTACCTCTTTTACAACACATGATAAAGTTTGGCCAAAATTATGTCGAAGAGCACCATCAAAGCGTAGCTTTTAAATTTGGTTATCATGCAGAAGCGAGCATGTTTCGTCTTCATTTACACATTATAAGCGAAGACATGGATTCCCTAGCTTTGAAGACCAAGAAACACTGGAACAGCTTTACTACTGAGTTTTTTTTGAATCCACAGCAAATTATAACGGATTTAAGGGAAAATGGTCAGGTGCAGTTACCAACAAAGGAAAAGTGCAAAGAGTATATGGATATGCCTTTAAAGTGCCACAAGTGTGAATTAAAACCTAAGAATATGCCTGAATTGAAGAGACATTTGTTGACACATTTAGTTTAGTATTATAGTAGGTATTCATTTCTTGAAAAAATATAAGTATGTACAATTTTTTTTTTTTTTGAATTGTTCAGGTGTTTTCCTTGTCCCTGGTGCATTTGAAGTCAGCCTTCGGTAAAATATTTATTCACATTCTCAATGTTGATTTCATACTGTTCAATAACATACTGTAGTCCATATCAAACACTAATTTTTTCCCAATGATCCTTTTCTCACAAACTGATTAATACCTTTTTGTACTTTTTGAAGCAACTATCGCCATCTGTTTCCTGAACAATTTACGATGCTGATTTTATCGATTCAAGTTATCTCACTGAATTTATTGAACCACTAAGAAGCTTTACAGGGAACTGTTATCTTGAGTTCTCATAGTTGAAACCACTAACACCGAGGCCGAGGTCAGCTTCTAGTCTAGATTTTTTTTAATAGTCACATCCATATAATTATTACAAATAAAAATAATTTCTTAATAAATCTCTTGTAAATAGGTTTTAATGTTAATCTATTAATGGCCGTTTCCACCAACTATTTCAGGGAAGCCTTGGCCCTTGATGATAAGTAAGTAGAATGACAGACAATTTTCCATGAAGAAATGTCAGTTTAAAGAATCCAAGGCTTCCCTAAAATAGTTACTGGAAATGGCCATTAATGAACTTTTATATTGTTTTACACATTCTTCAAATCACTTTTCTCTCTATATAGCATACCATTGCCCTTGATTTTTTTCTTTCGGAGGCTGCTACTTTATTTAATGAGCCAAATAAAATAGGACCCCTGTCAACAAATAGAGGCCAAGGAAACCCCAAAATACGGAATCCCTAATGCTTTAAGGAGGGTGCCTGCTTACACGCAACAATATAAATAGATTCTCATCTGAAAAGGTCCAGATAGGATCTTGGGAAAGCTTTAAACTGGCTATATAAGAGGGCAATTTATTATTTTCTCACATAAAAAGACAACGGAAAAACTTCCAGTAATCTTTCATCAATAGTCGATAATTAAGCTGTATAATTAATGGCTTGCAATATCAGCGTAATGGCAGATTTAATTAAATTCACACTGCATTAAGTGCCTAATAAAATCAAATTGTGCTATAACGTGAATGCACTAAAATCTATAATTACATGAATTTTTGAATTGTTTTTGAGAGTTTTGGGTTTATTGCCGATAAGTATGATAATTTGGGTTTTTTTTTTTTGGTTTTTTTAGTCGAATAATAATTACTACAACCTTGTAGATAGGCTAACAATAATATTATTATTCATGAACTTCTACAATTTATTATTCAAGGTTTTTATTATTAGGGCAAACCCTAGAATTATGAGTCATTAAAGTTCGATCAATTTTCCTAACGAGTGAAGTTATATTTTTTGTCTTATAACCTACTAGTTATATATTGAATCAACACCCTGTACAATAATTCAATTTAAAATGAAGGCTACCGATACATCACGGACAGGTCCGCCGCCCTTCTGATAGGTTTTGTTCTCGGCAGAGCCTCTGGGGATTAATGGGAACAGCCTGACAAAATTATTTATTATTTCGGTCCAGAGCCTTATGTTTTGTAGGACTCTTGAGAAAAGGGTATTTTTCGAAGTAAAATATCATCGCTGATTTTTGAACACTTCCAATCAGTGCAAATAGAAAGGGACACCTAAAATTAAATTTGGACCGATTAGAGGGCGAAACTGGCTTAAACCTTCAAGCCTCAGTTAATTAATTTAAGATCAAATATTGTTATGCTCCTTTTTTTATGAGTAAACGCTAACTCTTCTAAAATCCAATATGTGTCGTTTGAAAAAGCTCAGCAGCTAATTTACTGCCCCGAAAATTTTCCCAATACTTTAACGTTTATCCCTCGAGAATTATGAAGTAAAAGAAAACCTCTAGAATACAGGCTATATAACTAACATTGACAAACTGTCAAGGTTGATAAATAATAAAGGTAACAAGATATAAAATACAGGACATTTTAAAAGTTTCTAAATATATAACATTCACCCGTCGGTTTTATAATCTGTCAAATACACACGAGGCTTCTTTTGACGTTTTGGTCGGTTCAAGAAATAGTCAGTTATATTTCCTATAAGTTCATCGCCTAGATTTCTTAATGGTTTCCCATCAAGATTGCCAGCATCAGAATCATTATAATTGAGTTGTTGAATGGGATCTGGTTCACTACATTGGTCGTTGTTTTGATCATTAGGTTCGTTTCTATATGTTCTACATTCTACATTCATATCTTCATTCGACGTTTCTTGATGCAAAGCAGAATCTCCTCTTGGCGCAAGGTGGCGTGTTGACACAATTGTTTCTTTACCATTAGCTAATCTGATATGAGCATAATCAGAGTTAGCTTCTAGGAGTTGCACTTCTTCCACAATCGGTTCATACTTGCTTTGTCTTACATGTTTCTTCAGGAAGACTGGACAAGGAATACTCAACCAGGTTGGAATTGAAGAACTATTTTTAGATCTTCGAGGATGACAGAACATTCTTTCGTGCGGTGAACAATTTGTTGCTGTACATAACAAAGACCTTATTGAATATAAAGAGTCGACCAATACCTGCTGCCAATGTCTTATATCCACGTTTCTTGATTTTAGAGGTAACTGAATGGTTTTCCATGTAATATCATTATACCGTTCACACTGCCCGTTTCCTTGAGGGTTACAAGGAGTAGTGCGACTAGTTGCAATCCCATGTCGTGTTATGAATGTTTTCAGTTCTTCAGACATAAATGATGTCCCTCTATCACTATGCAGGTACAATGGTGTCCCAAAAACAGAAAAAAGTTGAGTTAAGCAATTTATAATAGTTCATGAGGTCATGTCAGGACAAGCAAAGCCAAATGGGAATCTAGAAAATTCATCCACAATAGTCAAAATATAGCGGTTTTGATTCTCAGATGGCAAAGAATCTACATTTACTTTCGAAAGGGGCAGTAGCTTTTATGATGGTCCCTTGATTTCTATGGAACCTTGGTTTGATCTCAGCAAAAACGGGACAGATGGCTGAAATTCTCTTGATATCTTCTAGTGAGAAAGGTAGATTCTTACATAAGACCCAGTGATACAATCTTGTTATAACAGAATGACAGAGAGAATTAGGGTTGCCAGATTTTCAAAATTGAAAAGCGGGGGGAAGTGAATGGGAGGAAAAAATAATGTTTCGCCGCAGGCGGAAATTTTTTTGAGGAGCCACGTCCTAATTTTGTCACATTTTACCATATACAGAGTGTACGAAAAGTAACGCGGGACGGTCCAATTATCTATCTATAAAACCAGTGGTGCAACCCACATAACAGTGAAAGAACATTCATATTCTCAGAATATTCCCTCAAAGTGCTTTTTGGAATGTTCTTTTAGGAATGTTTAATGAATATTCTAAGATTGTTTCGATTGAAATATTCATGTTTGAACGTTCTATTTATGTACTAGGAATGTTGCTTCTATGCACCTACCTGAAAGATTGTGCTAAAAACCTACTTTATATAACAATCTTTGAATATTGTCATACGAACATTATTATAATGTACCCTAAAAAATGTTCTTTCGGCTAATATCTCTATCAAGTATTGAGAATATACCTACCAAGTTGTGCTGAGAAGTTTATGTAGGTAGGTAACCATGATAAGAATATTTTCATATTGTTCACCTAATTATCTGAAGTACCTACTCAAAAATCATAATTTAACAATTAAACAATAATGCTCTATCTAGAACCTACTAAGAATATTATAGATTCCTTTTGCTTTGTAGGACTTCCAAGAGAGGGAGCCACGCGCTATTAAAGATCTACATCTTACCTCGCGAGCTTTGGTGAAATACTTGTGTTTTCCAGAGAAGTTTTCCAACAACTATTTCACTGCCTTTAATATAAAAGGGCTGAAAGGAGCATTATTTGGACGCGAAAATTAACATTCCAAGTATATCCTTAGAATCAACCAAGAATGTTATGTCTAGGATGCATATTGAGAATGAGAATGATATAATAATATGTAGACATATTCTAAGAATATTTCAAGCATATTGGTATAATATTCTTTTGAGAACATAACTATAATGTCATAGAAACATTCTTTGAATGTGAGAATACCTATACATATCGAGCATATTTTTAGAATCAAACAAGAATATTCTTTTCAGGATGTACTGAGAATCTCATAGGTATATTCTAGGAATATCCTAATGAATTTCTCAGGAAGTTCTTGGGTATTGCAAACAGTATTTCTACAATCTTTTCTCAGAACATTCTCAGGACATTCGCAATGGTTTTGGCGAACATTCTAGGCACATTCCTTCCAAAAAAAGAGCATTCTTAATACATTCTAAGGATGCAATTTTGTTATGTGGGAATTTAAACAAATTCTTATAATTCAAGACGAATTCAAAAATTGTATGGACGTCGTTGCCAGACTTAGGTACTAATAATAGGTATTACAAGAGGAAAAGTTTTGTTGTCACTGGACTACACAACATACTTGGACCAAGTAAGTTGGCAGGCCTACTTACTTGGATCTTGGATGTTAGATGTTAGGACCTATCCTGGACTTGGATAAACAGTTAATACGATAAAAGTGTCGTCCAAGTGAGGCGTGCGCAGCGTTCAAGACTCGAATAAAGTGGAGTTTGGTACGCAGATAATTCTTGAAGCTCAAACCCCCTTTACAATCTACAATCAGCGTCACAACGGAGGTAGGATACCTTCAGTTCAGATTTGATGCCCAAGCTCTCAAGCTTGCCTAGTTCTGTCCTCGTTTGGAATTGGAAATAGAGAAAGATTCAAATAATATTTATCAAAGTGCGCCTCTCGACGTTAAGCGTAAAGCTCTTCAGTTGCGTTGGATTTCCAGATTTATGATGAAGTATTAAAATAAGGTAAAAATAAATAAGAGCACATAATTCACATTACATTTCATGTAATTTTTATTTTTGGGAAAAGCGGGAGTTTTTCTTAAGTGCGCGAGAGGCGGGAGGTTTAGTAAAAAAGCGGGAGACTCCCGCCTAAATCGGGAGGGTTGGCAACCCTAGAAAGAATTATGTAGATTATTCCACCCATGTGTTAAAATTCCCATAAGACAAGTGACAATTTTCAAAATTACAGCGAAAATTCTTTTGTCCATTAGTTTAACTAGAGAGAATTACAGCGAAAATTCTCCCATGTTATTGTATTCATGGTTGTCATGCTAATTTTTGATACAAACAAACAGTCGCTGTTAAGAACCATTTATTTGTATTGATTGTTAAGTTGTTCAAA